AAGTGAAATTCTACATAAAATGTGATGCAGGACCTTCACAAACTTGGAAATATTTTGTAAGGATCTATCTAAGGAACAAAATTCTTCATTTAACTGCTTATTATTATGTGTTCAGTTGATTTGTATTTTTTATGATTGAATTGGAAATAAAATATTTTAAAAATTAGTTTGTAGATGCAGGCACGGAAAAATTGTATCCGTTTTCCCCAGTCTAGACTCCGTCGACACCTTAGCACGCCGTACATTTTTTTACCAATCCTGCGAACTTTAGAAAACGGCCTGTTAAACTTTGCTCCGGATCGCCTGGCACACCGTGCGGTTTGTTCCCTCTGAAATCGACACCGAAAATACCACCCAGGATTAAACTCCGGCGTAAACCCCCTAAGTGGATTTCGCATCCCCTGCGACCTGACCTTTCGTCAACCCGATGCGCCACCTCTTAAACTGAGGGGCCCGCCGCTACGAAAACTTAAATCGTCGCCGGTTAATTGAGCCGCCGACGACGACGGGCCGGTAACCCGACAGCCGCCCCCAGCTCGGGCCGCGACCGATGAAATTTCAGGAGACGCGGGCGGTCGGTGTGTCGGTCGCGTCCAATTATCCGACCCCCGCAATTCGCCGCATGCGAGATCAAGGAGCTTCCTTGACAAAATAAAATCGTTTTTTTTATTCGCGCTATACATGTTCAACCTGCGCGCGCACCTACACTACAGTATCATTTTTCGATAAGTCAGTTCCCAGCTTCGGCATTTCCTTTCTTGTCATATGCGTGGGAAGAACCTGTTATTATTTTCACATATTAATTATTCCAGTGTGTTTTTAAAAATTAAATGGTAGTCGAGTGTTTGTTACCAATCTGTTAATATTCAGAGTAGTTGTAATCGAGCGAATTTAGTGGATGATGAACGTTGGTTAATAAACAATGTTTGTCAGGGGCACAGGAAATGTCATACATTTTTCATAGGTATAAGTATGGTGATTCATTGCTTCAGATTATATTTTTCATGAATCTAATATAGTACACTTATGAAGCATATAAGGGAATTTCACCTTAACATCTACCTAGGTATCAAGTATACCCATCTGGCATCCCTGTCTTGTTAGTTCTCATCAGCATGCCTACTTGTCGGTAGTTTAATCTACCAACATGTTTTGAGTGTGGGTGAGATACATCTAAACAAATAAATACAGCTTTTCTTAATAAAGCAACAGTGTAAGGATAGATATATATAATCGTGAAATATCACAGATCAGTTAAAGTTAGTGTTCATGTTGCTGCCACATAAGAGCTCATTTGGTATGAAAATATTTCCCTTTCCAATTGAGGTCGCACACTCGATTCGACCGTCCTAAGATCGATTTTCATTAAACGACAATCCGATTCCCCACAGGATTAAAATGGCCCCATAAAAGCGATTTATTCGAGATTGTCCTGCGGCCTTACGAAATCTGTCCCATGTTCATGTATGTGGCAACCAAAAATTTAACTCCGCTGATTTATTTGATACGCTAGAACGTATTCACTTCCATCAAAATCCCAATAAAAATTTAAAGACGTAACAGAAGGATAATTTGCTATGCCATTTCAACCCCTATAACACTGATGTGATATTTTTACAGCCATTTTACGATGTATCTATACTCCAGTATCAAAATAGTAGGCAATGACTCGTTCTCAACGTGTAGATCCATGCGACGGACATGGCGTGCAGGAAATGCGATTCCATGGGCGTATCATCTTAAAGGGTTGAAAAAATTGTTAAATGTAGAACAACAACGGTGTATTAAAATGTCCATCAGGTAAGCAGATAGGTATTTTCTTATGCGTACTAAAGTATGTATTCAACAATTCTACCCTCATTAAACGAAGAGCTTTTTTTATTATGGGACATACCCAGCGTTTTCAAAAAGTACTGACGCAGTGTTGTTAACGTTAAGACATCTTAATAATCAATATGTCTTCCATTGAACCATTCAATGATTTCTCCTTTTCTCCATGGATATGGTGGTAATTGTTTTTATTTATCGACTGTGGGAAGGCGCATTATCTATGACAATTACTGCGTCAGGTTCGATGTTCTCTCTTCTCTATTCCATTCTACAATTTAATTTTTTCTATTAGCATTATTTGTCGATGTCGTTCTAAATAACAAATATTCATTTCATGCATAGCACACGTCACTTTTTCATGACAATCTAGGCTCTTGAATTTTTTTTTATGTTAAGAGTTTTTTTAATAAAATTCCCGAATCTTTCTATAGATCACCACTTTTTAGTTCATCATAAATACTGACAGAAATTTTTATTAAAGAACTGCACATTTATACATATCCGCATGCAACGTTCTTGATCTATTAAGTTTGGTCATTTATGAGTACCATGATTGTCAGACGCCACTAGCACCCTCACATAGGAATCCATTTTTAACGACACAAATAAAATGTGAAAATAATAACACGTCTTTCCCACTTCTACGCTTATGACACGCACTGACATGCCTCCTCTGCAAGTAAGATGAGGTGGGATTTCAAGAAGTCACAACAAGAACTTTCGCGCGCGCAAGTTGAACATATCGGAACACCATGCGAAATGAAAGGCACCTTACAATGTCCATGCAGAGAATAACAAAATTATTTTATCGAATTCAGAAGCAGTAAAAACTGTGGTTGATATTTATCAGCGTGGCGTCTTTGTTGGACTGCTCGCCATCTGCTCTGATAGAACGGAGAGTGGAAAATCGCTGATAGACGTCGACGGCGATATCAATTCGTTGGCAAAATAATATTTAGGACTGGGAATGGGGTCCATTACGGGCGTTTCTCTTATTTATGCTTTTACATCTCCCCGATGGTTAATGGCGATACATATTTATGAGCTATTAGTCCGTTCGGCACTCCGTTTCGCGCAATTCTCGGGCGGATGTCGAGATTCGATTTAAAAATTCAGGAGGCAGAGGAAGGCGGCCGGTAATCAAAGTCATTATTTTTTTAACAAAAATCCCCTTCCAGACTTCGAATACGTCTAAAATATAGATCCGGTTTCGGTTTATCTCGAGTTAAAGGTTTTGTACAGGTTCCTTTGTAAAAATTTCATTTGCAACATCAAATTTAACAGCTTTTGAGAAGCTGTGTTATTGTGGTGCTACTTGTTCAAACTATTTATGGCTTAAAAACAACACCGAGTGTATTAAGGAGGTTTATCCGATTTGGAATTGACGAACAAATATTCATAAAAAAATTAATATAAGCTTATTAATATGAAGAAAATCCTCAAAAGAAATTATGACTGGTTTGGATACCTAAGAGACGAGATATTAATAAAATAATTTTTCACGATTTAGTACAGAGTCTTATGAGAATGCAGAATTTTTTGGTCTTTCCACTTAGAATGCGCAACAATTGACGAACAGTTTCCACAGCAACTTGTATAAATAGGAAACCGATATCTAAGGAACCGTATGACAGCTTGTAGAAATCGATTAGGTACTTGTAAGATACATAATTTATAATTCTCCTTCAAACTGCTGTCGTTGACTAACTTATTCTCCATATGCGTGATAGCGGCAACGCCGCGAGCTCGACGTAGCGTATTCTTTGAAATTCGCAGATGTCCAAACAAACAGAATGATCGAATGGAAGCGAGCGAACGCCGAGCCGAGCGCGCCAGCCAAGTGAAACGTTGCCAAATCTAAAGGCTTACTACTTTAGTCACTAGCGAATCTACAGAAACTTCCGTTAGACTTTAGATGTACCTCCGTACCCGATAAACCTCCTTAAGTGGCTTCACTATCCGCAGACGACAATAAAAACAAAATGTGGACTGATGTAAGCAGTTTTAAGTCTATTCTTCTTCTTCAATAAAGCGTTTAACACATTTGTTTTGTTACAACGACATAGTCAATGATTTTTTTGAGTATCTTTTGACAATATAAAGATTATCATCGCCTGAGTTCATCATTCTATTTTGCAATAATGTATCATTTTTTAAATAATTTTAATGGTGTAATACTGGGTAATTACACACGTTTCACCATTTTGAGCAACAAATATGGCTACCTTAGATTGTAGTGAATCGAACATTAAAAAATGCGGTAAAAACATATCTGATGTGGTAAAATATGTAAAACACTGAAAATCTCCGTTGCATGTTAATTTTTTTCCAGGGCTAATCGCGAATAATTTCCCGATTATGAACTGGAGAATGCCACTGAAATGTTTCCACGTATAACATGATTTTAATAACGCGAACGCAAAAAAGTAGGACGTCGCGGCAAAACGGCAAAAGTTGCTTCGACGTGAGGCACGTCGGTAAGATCAATTATCGACATGTGAGTAATATATCAGGGCAGAACTTGGCGTTCCTAAAGACCCATAAATTTACATATAAAATCCGATAATTCTTGCACGTGATTTATTCTACTCTAAACTATTTTTCAGAGCCCAGACTCCCCCGCGACCCGCGAGAAAGTTTCACGCTTTGTGCCGCTCGAATTGTGTTATTTTCGAGAGCTTTCCGTAAAAAAAATTGATAAATGTGAACTGGGAAATTTGAAGCTTCAAACTTAACACAATAAAATAAAAAAAAACATAGCATGTAAGCTCAGTTAGGAATGCGAACGAAATCCAATTCCAATAATCAAGACGGGTCATCAGAGGAAGCAATATAATTTTTTTGATACTTAACTATATTTGTAACATTACTTTTCTTGGAAAAGTAGACTTCACTAACACAATTTTTAATTGATAGATGTAATAAATCATTCTCAGCATTTTCTAAAAACATTGTACAAAACAATTAACGAATTTTGATGAGAATGACTTAATTTATGTCACTAAAATCAGTCAATATGTGTTATGTCCAGTTGTTATCGTGGTCGATATCTGTCTACATTCTAATTTAATTTTTCTAAATGTACAACTCACTTGAAAGAGTTCCCGTAAACATCTCAACCGGAAATATAAGTCGCCCACTTCGCTAAAGTTTTTTTAATTCAATTTCAGAACGGCGGTGCCAAAGACGGATTGGACATGAACCTGGCGCCGGCATGGCAGAAAGGGTACACCGGCAAAGGAGTGGTGGTGTCAATCCTCGACGACGGCATCCAGACCAACCATCCAGACCTCGCTCAAAATTACGTAAGTGTAAACATTGGAGTAAATTCGATTTCATGTCTCTATTGATATAGTGTAGGTGTCTGCAAGTGCAACGGTGTAGTTTGAGACGTTGGATTGTTAGTATTTGGTTAGAATTTAAAGTAAGTGTTTGGCTAACAATAAGACAAAATTACAATTTGGAAATATTAAATGGATAATCTATTTTTTAAATATGTTTAAGGTAACAATTTATAGTATTCTCGATTTGTTTTCACTTCTGCACTTAATGCGACTGTATCTTCTACACTGAAAGAAATGCGTTTTATTCTTTATTAGAATTCTATATACCATTATAAGACCATTGTATACTATATGTGACAGTTAAACAGGTGAATATTGGATATAAAACGAGTATTAATAGCACAGTTGTATAGTGACTATATACCTTATTTTTTATTAAATTATTGTATAACTAGTATATAACGTTTTTATACCCTTTACGAAATAATAGCAATAACTGTTATTAAAGTGTTCCATATCGTTATTAGAACATCTAGTACTGGTTATAAGTTTTATAATAATAAATGTATTAAACTGTTGTATACTCTGTATGAGTTAAAAACATGTCATTAAGTTTTCAGAAATTTTATTGGATAACTGTAATTACAAGCTAAGGTTCTAATGTAAACATACATAAAACATACTTTTAAGCATTAAAAATGATGACAAATCGCTCCCAAAACACTCCAGTTTATTTTCTTAGCAACGATGCACCCGTATTTTCTTGTATTACATGAGAATTTGCACTATAACTCTTCCACCTTAAGAATGAAGCATCCCCAGAAAGGTTGAGCTTCTTTCCATATAATTTTATTTCCTCTGGTTGATTGACTTTATACCCATGCTTTTTTTTGTCACCGTTAACCTTCTGTTCCTCCATCTTATGTAAAATTTAACATCAGCGATTTCTAATAGGACCTACAAAATAATAATTTAATTTAAAACAGTTAGATACTTACATAATAATTTTCCATTTCACGCAACGCGATATGATCATGTATCCCACAAAACATGTGCATATACTGTCCATTTTCATCAAACTAGACGTGTGTAAGTCGATGCACAGCGGACTGTCGGAAATTTTACGATTGTTGTATTTTCTCTTCTTGAGTAAAGATAATAAAGACGTTGTGGTTTTGTGTGTTTATTTTGACAATGATTGAACATGTATGGACAATAAAAGTGGACTGTATAAGATAGTTGAGTACCGTTCTGCTTCATGCATACATAGCAGGCTACTGAAATCTTAGATTAGAAGGGATGAGCTCGTGCGACCAACCCTACATCAGCGGCTGGAATAGCAGGTTTCTTATTGAGTCGGCGCACTTCGCTCTCGGGTCTGACATATGATTATTATTACAAGACTATGAATATAACTTAACAACGATTATAACCGATTATACACCGAAAGGTGACGATCACTTAACCATTATAAGATGCGTTTTACACGTTAAAAACGGAAACATATTCAGTATAAGAACGAATAATTCTGTTAATACAATTGTTATATACAAATTCGGATACTGGTCTTTATACAACAAATCTTCCCTACTATACAATTGGAATATAAAGTCTATAACACCTAATAATGTATAAGTAATTCATTATAACCTTTATTTCGTAGATGCATAAGGTGTATTAAGCACCTTCCAGTTAATCTGATTGAATAATGAGTATGGAGATGATTGCTTTTTTTAATAAAAGTTGTATATTGGTTATAAAAGTTTTAATATGCGCTATACACATTATTCTAAATAAACAGTTTAATAAGCCCATTTCTTTCAGTGTATAAGCTAATAATAAATGATGGAAATAGCTTCAGTCTAAGTGTTTTATGTTTCAAAATTCCCGCGCTTAAGGTGCAATCGCTTGAAGCGCTGTTTTTGTCTAGTTATTAGCAATGTCTATACAAGTATGTTTATGGTATATTACTTGAGCTATTGTTTTTCTGCACCTTAGGTTAAACCAATTCACCACCTCGTAACATAAGTATTTAGTCCCCGAATTTCCACGCTTGTTTCTTGTTTCCTGGTGTCTAATGTTTGGAAATTAAACATAATTAATAAAATATTGTGATCAAAACCCTGTTCTGAATACGCGCCACTGGACTTAAAAGCTAAAAATTAAAAAAATCGCTTTTGTACATTTTCAAAGCTATCGGAATGTACCAAGGAAGGGTTCCAAACCAATGACCAATACTCAATTTTTGACCTAACATATGCGTAATATAAAATTTCCAAAGGCTTAATATTAGAAAATGAGTGACAATTTCGAACGATAAACCCAATAATTTTCCCAGCATCTGATTGTTCTCTCGTTAATGTGATGAACAAAACTCAAATGGCAATTAAAAAAATTATAATGATAAGTTTTGTCAAACTTTAATGGCGTATTCTACCAACAAAATAATCAACTTTTGCCCTATAAACATTTTTGATAAGATGCTTCCCTACGGAAATACAGGGTGTTAAAAGTTTCAAATATATGATTTTTCCTGTAACTTCACAAAAAATATTTAGTGATAAAATTTGGGGGATGACATTTTCTTAGTAGGGACTATTTTTTCATGGATAATTAATTCTGAAATACTCTCCAGTGGCGTAGTTATTGGGGGAGTAGGAGACCTTTTTTGAAAAAAAAACGTAGGTCACTGGTTTTCTAAATAATTTTAAATGTTTTTAAAATGTACAATCAATTTGTGGCAATACAGTATTCTTGTAAAGTATTCGTTAAAATTTACTGGTCTGTAGATAATTGCGAAATCAAATAAGAAGATTTTTAAGTACCTACGTTGCTATTTATCATTTTCTATTGATTGCTAAATGTGTAACAATAAATTCAATACCTAATATTTTTGAGAGATTTCAAAACACCCGAGGGCCGAAGGCCCGAGAGAAAGGTCAAGTCCGCGTCAGCGGACTTGCCTACCTTTCTAGCGGTATAAGTAACAACCAATGATACCAATGTACGATCTTCTAAGTCACTTTTTCTTCGTGTTTTAAGTTTCATAAGGAATTATCTAGTTCGCTCGCAGCAAGTAGTGCGGAAATACCTAATATTTTTGAGAGATTTCAAAACACCCGAGGGCCGAAGGCCCGAGAGAAAGGTCAAGTCCGCGTCAGCGGACTTGCCTACCTTTCTAGCGGTATAAGTAACAACCAATGATACCAATGTACGATCTTCTAAGTCACTTTTTCTTCGTGTTTTAAGTTTCATAAGGAATTATCTAGTTCGCTCGCAGCAAGTAGTGCGGAAATACCTAATATTTTTGAGAGATTTCAAAACACCCGAGGGCCGAAGGCCCGAGAGAAAGGTCAAGTCCGCGTCAGCGGACTTGCCTACCTTTCTAGCGGTATAAGTAACAACCAATGATACCAATGTACGATCTTCTAAGTCACTTTTTCTTCGTGTTTTAAGTTTCGTGAGGAATTACCTAGTTCGCTCGCAGCAAGTAGTGCGGAAATACCTAATATTTTTGAGAGATTTCAAAACACCCGAGGGCCGAAGGCCCGAGAGAAAGGTCAAGTCCGCGTCAGCGGACTTGCCTACCTTTCTAGCGGTATAAGTAACAACCAATGATACCAATGTACGATCTTCTAAGTCACTTTTTCTTCGTGTTTTAAGTTTCATAAGGAATTATCTAGTTCGCTCGCAGCAAGTAGCACGGAAAAGCGTGTTTTGAATAGTAACTTAGGATAAACTTTTTTTTTCATCCACGACTGTACAAATTACGTAACCATTAATCGTGGGACATTTACGGCGCTAACCGTAAAGGGAGCGCGCCGTTAAGGACATGTGTAAACCTCCATCTGCCTTGCGAGCGGTTAATGAAGCGGAAACGGGCCCATTTGCCTATTAGACCATCGATCCGCATGTTTACTACCCCCGTAATTCGGGGGGATTAGTCGGCATTATCGGCCACGTCGCAACGGACTCGTAACGGCGGAATGCCCGCACAACAAACTGAACAGTGTCTGAATTAGTTCGGGCCCGTCCTCGATGGACGGAATGGAAATTAAGTCGGGCGGCGGGATCGTATTTACGCCCCCGAGGGGGTGGAGGGGGCCGTTGCAACCGCCGCGATGCAAATCGCGTTTGTGCGAGGAATCATTTGGGATGGATCGCTTTAGCGCTCACCTGAGTCGGTGCTAATTTCGTGGGTGGGGTGCAGTTAAATGTGAGCTTTAAGTGCCGAGTTTGTAGCATTCAAGGCGGTAACTTTAATAATAATAATGATAATAACAGTAACGGGAACGGTAGCGATTCAGGTTCTGATAAAGTACTCTTTGCAACATGTTTTAATAACGAGCGTTCAAATAAAAACGTGGTCAAAGTTGGCTCTGACATATTGGACGTAGGGAGTAGCTTATAGCGACCAACTTAACCTCATTTCTCAACGAGCTGTATAGCAGCTGTCAGTTTCAATAACGTTAATGACTATATAACTTTATTTTAAAGAATAATCGTGATAACAATAACAAACAATTAAAGGAGCTGCGGAAAGTGTCCCCCTCCTTGTTATAACAATAAATTAAAGCAGCTGCTGAAAGTGTCCCCCTCCTTGTTCCAAGCACTTTTCACACCTGTTCCTCAAAGAATTAAAGACATTTTCTAAGATGCTCGGGGTATTGTTAATTTCACGAATCTTGTCTATAAGTCGAGCCTGCAGATGGTTTAAATCAGGAATAGGCAGTTCAAAAATAGTGTTTTTAAGGTAAGGCCACAAAAAGAAATCACACGGCGTAATATCACATGACCTCGGTGGAAATTCATGTTCAGCATTGAGACTTATTAGTCGATTTTGGAAAACTTCCCTCAACATATTCATCGTCTCGCCTGCCGTATGTGCCCTTGCGCCATCTTGTTGAAAGTAAAAGTTTGTAATTTCGTTTTCTTCCAGCTGGTTAACAAAAGGAGCGATAATTTCTTCTCTATACCTTTGCGCAGTAAGAGTACCATTAAAAAAAATAGGTCCATAAATC